ATCTGAACTTTAGTCCAAAGGAGCACCTAAGAGGTCATACTATAACACTAGGTAACTCAACTCTTATTATTTTGCTACTACTACTACTACTACTACCTGAACTTTAGACCAAAGGAGCACCTAAGAGGTCATACTATAACACTAGGTAACTCTATTATTATTATTATTATTATTATTATTATTATTATTATTATTATTATTATTATGTTACAGAGTGTAATTCCTGTATGGGATGGGGGTTGGACTAGATGACCTTTAGGGACCCTTTCCCGTTCTGTGGGTTCTGGAGGATATTCTCATCCTTGGAGGGATTCGTTGGCCAAAGGGGAGGCTGGCTTTCTTGTTTTGCTTCACATCTCGAGGTCCGAAAGGCACTGAGGCCCCTTGACCCACAAAGGAGAGCCTTATCTTTGCCGGTTTCCCCAGCTGTTTCTAGTAACAACGCCCAGTTTGTGTATAAATAAACCCTCTCAGCCCGAAGCAGCAGCGTTGGCAGCGGCCGGCAAGGCTTCCCTCCCGGAGGCCTCATGCGGAAAAGCTCTGGTTTGTCGGCACACCAGTTCCAGGAAAGGGGCCTGATTCAAACCATGCGGCCTCCATTCTTTCTGCGCCGGAGGCAGACAATGCTCTTCAAGGAAACTGGGAGAGGGTGCACTTCCTCCTATTGCATTTCCCTTCACTTCCCCATCCCTCTCTTCTCAAGCATCTCACAAGTTTTCGATTCGGCACAGAAACCTGCAAAACCTATTTTGCAAAAGGAGGAGCTGTCCCTCTCCCTCTTTCGGTGTCATAGAATAGCATAGAACCACAGGCTTGGAAGAAACCATGAAGGTCATCTAGTCCAACCTTCTTCTGTCTGTCATTGGATTTTGGTTCCATTTCCCCCAAAGGTTTGCACCTGAAGGTGTAACCTCACTTACATACTTACTTACTTACTTACTTACTTACTTACTTACTTAGGCGATCCCTCGTTGTCTGAATAGGATAGTCTTCCAGGATCAGTGTACTGGCAGTGGGTCCATCCGTAGGTGACTATGAAGCCCTCTTCTTGATCTGCATCTTCTCCCACAAGTGAGGGTATTAGTTTCCAGGTAGAAGGCTGTCCCGATCAAGGTTGGCTTGACATGCCTTCCTCTTGGCATGTTTCTCCCTTTCGCC